GGGGGGGGGGTTATTAATCCGGTCTTTGCATTAAAAGACACAAAACATACACAGATGGGGGGCTGCTTGAATCTGGTTTTTTGCGGCCAACACGGTGTAATTTGTCTTTCTTTGAGTTTTTGATGCGGGGACTCTGAAGCGGGCCGACTGTAAGGCTGCCAGTGATGCGTCATCTTTGCAGTATGCCTCAGAATGCATGCGAAGTGAGTTCGTACCTGAGCTTCGTTTCTGAACCGCCAGTTCGTCCAGTCTGAACTGATTATAGCCAAAGCAAATCCCATCTTCGAGGTGTGAGATTCCCATTGGCAACATGAGGCCCAGCTGTGGTCGTCATGTGACGCTAGGAAAACACAAGGAGACTGCGTATTAGTCTTTGGAGAAGATAATCCATTCAGCACAGACCGCAAGATTGCCACTTCAGAGCAGCTAGACCGGACCAAGGATACGACACTCCAACACAGTTGCTTAAAAGGTTTTTCAGCAGGGAATGAAAGAGATGAATTCAAGAGATGAGAGCGCCCGCAAGTTGTGAGGACAGGTGCCCCGGGATCTGCACTTCGGCACATTGGCGAGCAACTTCAACGCTTTGTTTCACCAATTCGACCACGAATTCAGTAAAGTCCGTGGTGAAGCAAAGTTTGCGAGCAAGTGGCGCTACTCAGCTGCTCGCTGTCCAGGTCAAAGCTACTGGTCACGATTTTCAGACCTTTAAAGTTTGCAGACAGTCTGGAAAGGGCTGCTTCTCCTGTGCATTGCCACAGGCATTGATTTGCGCCCCCTCAAAAAGGTATATAAGGTGCTCTGGAATGATTGATGCTTCCTGTCCTGTTGCGACCATTGTCAAAAATTAGTTTCAATCTCACGATCTCTTGGTGTTCCGCAGATGGCTTCAAGGGGGACTGCCGGCCGCAGGGGTTGAATTACATGTCGCAGTCAGATTCGAAGCCTCAGGCGATGAGTTGCATCACATTGTGCTTTCAAAGGTGTACACACTGCACCACTACAAACAAAAGAGATTGTCTCCGATTTGTGCAAGTGATCAGGAGTTGAATCCCTCACTCGCATGAGAAGTACAACCTTTTGACAATGCTTTACTGCAAGGTCTCCTCGTGTAATGCCTTTATTTCCAAAGGCGTGACGGCGCCGGGTTCCAAGAGGATGTATTTACACCTGAATGATGCCTTACCCTCTGAGAAAGCCTCAGGTCAGTCGTTGCAGATTCAATCGCTGCGTTCCGAGACTTTTGGTTGGAACGTGTCAATGACTAAATCTCTGGCTGCTACATGCCTTGTTGGAAGTCTGAGGCGGTCTATATTTTGCTCAGCAGCATCCCATCAACCTGCGATGCCTCCTGGCACCTGAAGGCCGGTGTCCTGGAACGCCTCGCTGAAGAATCTTCTGGATCAACGTCATGCCATGGAGCCATGATTGAGATTATCATGGACTAATGACTTGGCAAGGCTTGGCTTTTGGGCTGCTTGCTTCTGAGCTGGCCAGCAACGGCGATTTCGGTACAGAGCTGAACTGAATGAGATATTTGTTCGATCTCCTTTCAAGATTCATCGGTTTTGCAAGGACCTACATGCAGAGAGGGAGGGAGGGAGGGACGGAGAGAAGGAGAGAACAAAGCAGGCGAGTTTTATTTGTTGGGACGTGCACGATGCGCCAGCGCTGTGCACTACTTGCTTAGCAGCATGCAGCCTGTTTGCATAAGTCAAACCCATCCAACCCATCAAGTGCTTTGCACATACCACCGACTTAGGCCTCAATCAGCGAGCGAAATTTCCGGCACGGCTTTTGCGCCGAGCAGGGCTCTCAGGTGCTTTTAACATCTTTTAACTTCATATGTGCTGTATGTGTATCAAGAGACAGTGGCTTTTGCGGGCGTTCCATGTTTTTGTTCATTGCACTGCGCCTTTAAAGGCTCTGGTGAGACTCCCACATCTCACAAGCTTTGTCCATGAAGACTCTGCAGATACTTTGTTTGATAGCGATATTGCATACCGTAAGTACCCACAAAACTCTTTTTGACTCAAATGAGAGGGCCCTGCATGGCTTGCACAAGGCTGGTGCTGTTGACCTGCTCAATGATTTGGCTTATGGTCGGGAGTGTGTGGTGCTGGGAATCGGAGGAGATGACATCAGCTATGCATGGGTCGTTCTTCAGTTGAACGAATCTGAACGATTATATATTAATCCTTTGAATGGGTCCCGCTGCTGAAACGAGGACTGCATGGATGAAGCTCCACTGCTGTTTCAGCCTTGGAGGGCAAAGCAGCTGTTCGCTTTGCAATCACGTGTAGATTAGCTGGAGGTTCTGGCCAATCTTCGTGTCGAGCATTTTCGCAGGGCTCCGAGTTCTATCAAACACCACACGTGCATTTCTGTTTGCATTACTGGCTCAAAGAGGATTGCTAAAGGTAAAGCTGATGGTTGAAGCTGCTTTTGGAGCATCATTTAGTTGATCTGGAGACCTCAGGTCTGGAGCATCCTCATCTTTACAATGTCATGCCTTTGCTGCTTGTTTAGATGTCGGATGCTTGTCAAGAAGGACAGATTTAAGTGGACGGATGGTTGCTTCACGATGCTGATGACTCGCAGGAATTGCTTGTTGGTTTGTGCCTTTTTTCGATTTATATATATTTGGACAAATATATCATTCAGATTTGCCAGGTCTTGTGATTTGCACGATTCTGGTAATATTCTTGGGTAAGAAGAATCCGCATACATAAATCATATGGGAATTCAATTTTAAGACGGGAAGAAATCTGATACTATATATAATATATATATATATATATATTCAATTATTAATTTTAAGAATATATATTACAATATATATATATGGTATCCCCCGAAAAAAGCAAATATACATGGGGAATATTAATAAATATTATTATATATATATATGATAATTAAATTATTATATAAATGATGTGTTTAAATATTAAATATATATTGTTTTGTTGAATTGATTTTAAAAATTTCTATATATTCGAATTGAATAGATTTAAAGAAATTAATTATTTTTGAAATTTATATATTAAATCAATTTAAATAATTAATATTTTTTGGATTTATGGATATATTGGGGAAATATATATTTATGTTTGAATTATTTTTATTTTTGCAAGATGGGATAGATTAAACATAGATTATTGTATTCTTTTATAATTTTTTTTATAGATTATAAATTTTTGATTTTTAATGTATTAATATTTTATAATTATGGATTGTATTTTTATTTTTAATTAATGATTATATAAAATCGGTTAGATCAAATATATTATAGATTTAAACCAACACAAATTTATATATATATTAAAATATGTTTATAAATGTATATATGTTTTTTAATTTGCTAATATTTTGTAATTATTGGGTCTTGGAATTTGCCAAGGATTTTTTTTTTTCGTCTGGCCTAACAAATTCTTCGGCATATTAATAAGATATAAAATGATATTATTATTATGTTTATGATTTCAATTTATGCATTGCAATATTATATCATCTGAAATCAAAAATAATTATTAGATATAAATGATATTTTTAAAGCAATATTGATTTTGGGTGCACATTAATATATATATATATATTGTGTATATAGCTTTATATAGAGGCTAAATAATTTTAATACATATTTTTTAGGATTATTCTTAAACCATTAATATTGTATGGATATTAATATATTATTTTAATATATATATTTAGATAATTTGGATATAGTGGAGATGATGGATAATTGTAATATTTATGATTATTAGATATTATATCTATATTAAAATATTTTAATATATATAGATTTAAAATATATATAAATATTGTATATGTTTAAATTCGAATATATAATCTTTTTATTATTATATATATTAATGAATTCATAATTTATATATGAATTCAATTGTATATCGAATTTCTTATAGAGAATTAATGAAGAGGAAGAAATAAAAGAGATAGGAATAATATATATATATATTTAGATATTAACATATATTATTATTATATAATATATATATTTGCAAATTCTATAGGGAAAATGGTTGAATATGAATTTGAAAGAGCAAGAATTCTTGAAAAAGATAAATGTATTTGGATAGAATATTGTAATATAGATTTGATTATGATTAATTATATTTAGGAAGGGATGAAAATAATAAATATTTTTATAAATGAAAATGATTTAATTATATAAATGATTGAAATATATTAATGAAATCATATTTTAAAGATTCAATATTTAATAGATTTAATATATTTTTCTGTATATTTTTTCCTATAGATCAGATTTCCTGGGCCTCCTTGGGCCTCAAACAACTCGGGAGCTTTGTCTAGCTCTTGAGTCCGCCACCACATGTCCTTTTCAAGGCCTTGGCTTTGCATTTGGTGCAATGCACTCGATGCCTTTTCCTCCACAAGGAGTGTGTGGGGTGTCCCTGCCATCCCTCCGTAGGGGTCCAAGGGGTGTCCCAACATGTCGTGATTGCCAGATCAAGCAATTTCTCCTTTGAAGAATGCTTGAGAAGGCGCTAGTTGTACCTACCACAAACGATGTAGTGCGTCTGCAGGCTGAAGGTGTGATCGGACATGTTGGGCACGGTGGCGTCCACCATCTAATTTAGCAGGGTGGTCATTTGTTGTGCATGGTGATCTTGGCTTTGCATTGTTGGCATTGTAGGCCTTGACCTTTGGTTTGCCATATATGTCCTCCCGGGCTGGAAGGATGTATGAGGCTGTGGGGAGGCTTCCTTTTTGAATTCCCTGGCATAGGCACGCTTTGCCTTGCCCGTTTCGCGGGCTGCATGCATGAAGTGGTGGCGGATGCATTGGATAGCCAAGGGGGCAATTCGCTTGTATTTTGCATCTTGTTGGGCCAGCTCTTGTTCTTGGCTGGAAGGCTGCAAGGACAGCGCAACCTCCTTTGCCGCTTTGCCTGCGTCATTTTTGGGTGTTTCTTTTAGCTGCATTGGGCTGACACAGAGCACCTTGATGCGGCTCTTTTGGTCCAAGGTGATGAATTCCCGTAAATCATGGAATATATCATGTTTGCCCTTTTACCATGCCTCCCAGGCACGTGTGCTCTGAACATGGAGAACCATTCTCTGATGAAAATCAATAAACACAGTGTGCAGCCATGCGGACACCATAGAACCAGGATTGCTTGCCTGCCAGAACGGCGATCATTGTCCCCTGCCTGTAGAGCTGTCCCCCAATGAGAGTGTGGTGGACAATGGCAACCACATAGTGTCGTAGGCGGCCATCAATCGAGGTCCCTGCAATTCCAATGTTCACAATATCAGGACGGGAAATTCTGGCCTCGTCTTGGATAGTCCAAATTTCCCATGCCTACACAAATATTCCCCCTGTTGCCAGCGAGAGGGGTGGCATCATCAACAGCCCCTGAGCCCAGAATTCGAGGTTGAAGCCATGCTCCAATTCAAAGGAATCTTTACTGTCAAGTGCCGGAAATACTTTCTTTGTCTCCTGGCAGAGCCAAAGAAGATGCACTATAATTGCTGGCTGGGACACAATGTAGGCAGGTCAGGTGTTGTCCTTCTTGTCCATCACTGAGCTTGGTGAAGAGCGATCCTTGTGCCAGGTTTGCAAGGCAAAGGAGTTTTGCTGGTTCAGAATTCTGGTCAATTTGCTCCATAGTTGCCAATCCAAAGGCCTCTGAATTTCTTGCAATATGGTCCGTGCATTGATGCAGTGGATTCGGTTACTCTGTTCCGCTCTTTTGAATTCAATTTTGATGTTGTGCCAGGATTCTTGCATGTTAATTTTGAATGCGGGGTCACCATTATGTATTGGCTTGGTCCATTCTTCAAAAGTATCCGTTTGCCACCCATTGTCACGGAGGTAGTGCTGCAAAGCCGCAACAGGCCCTTTACCCCAAGATCTCTCATCCCATCATGAATTTTGGGTCCATGTTCTGGGAGCTGTTCTTCTAGCAGCCGTTTGGCTACCGAATTTAACACTGCAAAGCCAATTTTCTTGGCGGAGATGACCAGGTTGTCCTCTTCAAATAGCCTGCGGATGTGCTTGAAGGCAGCAGGCAGCAATAGCGATCCTCATAGCATTGGCAGGGTCCCGGTCTATGACATCAAAATTCAGGTTATTAATCCATAGGTCGGTGTGTAATTGTGGATACGTTTTGTTGAATATATGTAGGGCTCGGTGAAGGTAGATCTTGGCGGCGAATGGCGCCTGAGGATCTCCAGCCAGAATGCCATTGTTAGACCACAGAAGCTTCGAGGCCTCTCCTTCAGCTTCAAGAATTCTTGTTGGGTAGTCTCTAAGTCAATGCGGTCATAGAAATTAGACGTATCCAGCAAAACAGAAATCACCGTCCTATCGAGGGCCTTGTGGTGCTCCGTCATGAAGGCTCTTTTCAAAGCAACTTTCAGGCACTCCGCACCCGGAACCACACGCTCCCACACATAGGTGTCCTGTATGTTCTGTTGCCATTGCTTGGTGTAAGGCGCTCTGATTTTGCACCAGAGCCGATACAGAGAGGCTACCAAGGCAATGGGTCTCTCAATCTCCGGGCTTTTGGGCAACAATGCGATCATTGATTTGGAACAGTGGCCTAGGCTTCAATGTCATGAAAGAAGGCGATGAGGTCTTGGTATGGCAACTTCCGGAAGAAGTCAAAGCCAACTCCGTCCAGCCCAGGTGCTTTCTGAGTGAACTTCTTGAGGGTATTCCAGATCTGGTGGACCTGAAGAGGTTGTAGGTCATGTGCACGCGGCTGCCCTTTGTGAGCAAGGGCCTGTAAGGTGCTAGGTTCTAGCGGCTGTTCCCTTTGTTGCCAGATGTTGCCCCACTTTTGTATTCTCATGGGCATGCGCTCAATCCTGGGAGAATTCTGAAAAGGTCGTGTATACGGCATCTCATCCCTTTTTAAAATCCGGAACAATCCACGACAGCCCTTTTGACCCACGACAGCCCTTTTGGTTTACAGCATTCATCCAATTCCTGTATTCCTGGGTCTCCGTGTTGAAGATCTCTTCTTGATGCAATGTCCATTGGGTCTTCACAAAAATTAAAAGGACAATGATATATTCCGTGCCATGCACTGACCACAACATGCTGTAAAGCAACAGGAAGCCTTCAAGTGTGACGGTGGCATCCGAATGCCAATGCTTAGGAACATGCCACCCCAACTTCTCGAATTGGGGGGGTGATTGCATCTGTCCTCTGGGGCTTTGTGCAGGTGCTGTTGGAGCCGAAATTCAAGCTGAGACCAGAAAGCCAAAGCACCTTTCCTCCACAGCCAGGGTCGGCTCGGGTCGGCCAGCGGCTTCTGGATATATTGCAGCTGGGCGCCCCTTCCATATATTGGCTTGTCCAAATTCTGCAGGACATAGCATTCCATTTTGTGATAGAGTCGACCTGCTTGCCGTATGAGGACATTGCTGTCCTTGTCAAGCCATTTCACAGGAGGGTCCTTGGCCTCAATCTGCGT